GAAGACGAGCCAGGGGGTGGCGACGCAGTTGATACCGAGAATGATCGCATACGCCAACGAGATGCGATGCTGGACGATGCTGTGCGCCATGGTGGAGGCCACGTACGTCTCGCACGCAACCTCGACCAAGTGGGCGAGTGCGATGCGGGCGTTGGCCGAGACGGGAAGTGACGGCACCTTGCGCACCAGCGTGTATATCCAGTGTCGCCGTGAAGACGTGATGCACGGCGATAAAATCGGACTCCAATGCAGGAGCGCGATGGCGCCAAAGACGTACGCAGACAACTTCATGTACGCGCCGCCGAGAATGACGACGGCTGCGGGCGTGGCCGTGTAGTGCAGCGCTGCGAGGGCCACGAAGTACGTGCCCGTGAGCAAGTGCTGGACGAACACGAGGAAGCATAGGGCGCCGTCGACGTACGGGTCCCAGTCGTCTTCGTCGATGGATGCTCGCCAGCCCACGTCGTTCGCATCCGGGCTCACTGCGGACATTGTCAGGTGCAGAATGGCAGAACCGAAATAGGTCCGCACTCAGCGTTTCATGATCGAGAAAGGCGCTTGTTCATGCATGGGTCCGCCACGTCATTCTTGTGTGATGCGGGCGATTGCTGTGTTGCTTTCTCTTCTGGGTTGGTGCTCACTGAGCACGTCGACAGCAAGTTGGCAACCTTGAACTCCCTACATGTGCATACTCGTAGCGACGCCACCATGGAACTGATGTCATTGCTCGGGTTAGGGGATGACTCCCTCGACGACTTGGTCGGTGAGAGTTATTTGGGCAGAGAGATGACAAACCTGGGTAGACACTTAACAAAATGGCAGGCGCCACCACGACCTCCTTGTCCCAATGCTGACCAAGGTTTACGTCCCCACTCGGGTACTGGGTGCTGAGAGGCTGCAGTACACATAGCTGAAACGCAAGTAGAGGTGTAGCACCGATCTCGACGTGAGCGAAATAACGGGCTCATCGACGCGCATGAGTCCTGTAGAGACAAAAGCTATGGTCATTGCGGGCGTCGCCAACGACGACCAAGACAGTGCTACCGTAGATTGACGTCTCTGTAATCGCCTGTATGGACGGCATCGCTACAAGCTCTGCCGCTCTACTCCTACTCGGCGGTTTTGCTGCATTGCAACTAGGCTGCGTCGACCCACGCCTTGATGAGCGTGCTGTCATAGGAGGTTGTGAGAATCTTGGTCGACGACGCGAACGCGACGCCCGTCATGAGATCGTCGCCGGCGCGGTGCGAGTGCTCGAGTTCGAAGCGGAGACCCGTGGCACCGGCGTCGTCCTTGAGCTTCCACACGTGCAGATAGCCGTCTTCGCCGACCGTCGCGACGCGGTCGTTGTGCACGTCGAGCGCCGAGAGATGGCGCGAGTGCGCGCCGACGTCCGCCGAGATGACGCCATCGTGCATATCGACGAGCCGTAATTTCCCAGTTGTATCGCCCGTGAGCACCCAGCGCGTCTGGAAGCATCGGAGGCTCGTGGTCGGAAACGACGTGCCTTGGATCACTTGCTTCTTCTCGAGCCCCGAGGGCTCAACCCCCCAGACGATGAGCGTGCCGTCGTCGTCGCTGCTGACAGCCAGTGGCTCCTTTGCACTGCCGTTGGTTGCTACCGCCTGCACGGCCGCTTCATACAAACGTGAGGCAGTGAAGTACAGAGCTCAAGAGGTACCGTTGTGGCCCTTAACGGTCGACTGGAGGTGGAATTCCGAGTGGTCACGACCCTTGGCCTCGCCCGCCGCAGTTTGCGACAGCATGTAGAGCTTGCCGAGCGACGAGCCTACGCAGACGTGACGTTCTAATGCTGCAAGGGACGCAAAACGTACCCACGAGGATCGACTTGGTCGTGGTCTCGGCGCAGATCCCGCGGCAAAAGTGGTATTCGCCCTCTATATCTCGCGTGTGCATCCTGACGGACAGTGCAAGATGACGGTACCGCTGCCACTGGGCGGCTCCTTGGTAAGCGCCAGCGAAAAGTACAAGTGTTCGCCGAGAAGATCCCAGATCTAGTGGAGTTGCGCGCTCGACGGACGCGTTGACATTCGTCACGTCGGTACCTGGCAGCCCGACTCGTTGGCGATCACGAGAAGCTGCTCGCGCTCAAACGCGCACACGAGCGCTTGGTAAACGACAGTCTTCTCGACGAGCGAGACCTTGTTGGGCTTGGCGTTGGTCGTGGTGTTGAAGACAACCACGTCCTCCATGGAGGCAAAGGCCTACGCGGAGGCGGATTCGAACCGGCATGGCCGCTGCAGGTAGCGCTCCTACCACATAATCACCGGCGCGCGAGAGGTTGCCGGGCAGGAGCGACGGCGACACGTCCATCTCGACGGCTTCCGCGGTCGTCACCCACATCGTTTCGCAAAACCAATTTGATATCTTTCCGGTTGTGCAATTCACGCGCAACCGGATACGGATACGAAGCGTCAGCCTCAAGCGCTGCCAAAAAGTGTTTGGCCGCGGACGTGGAGCTCTGGCGTCCTGTCTGTTGAAGCTCAATCGCGGAGCTCAGTCGTGGCAATGATATGTGCGTGAATTCTAGTCAATCCAAGCGCCGTCTTACGTACTTTAAGGCGGCTACTGGTCGAAATACATCGTAATCCATGGTTTTTCATCAAAAGCTTCGACTGATTGGTTAAAAGGCATCACAAAGAACTCAAGCCGCATCACTGCACTTAAAAGCCAGGCTCCGCGCGTGTCACCGTGCTGCAGACCTTTCAATATATTTCTCCTCTTTCTTTGCATATCATGTACGTAAACTTCAAGACACGAAAATCGAGCCAAAAAGCTGGACGTGCATGAGATTCTTAGTGTCCCACGTAGGCCCTTCTCATTGCGATATCGGTCATTGCTTTCACTTAGCAAGCACTTCGATGCACTGCAGCTGGTACCAGCAAAACAAGTCATTTCCATACAGTCCATGTTGGCCGTATATACTCCTCGGTGGGGCTGCTACAAAGGCGCAAAGCGTATCGAGTTAGAACGCGACAACGTCGATCCATTGGTTGGTGCTGGCGTTGTGGCACTCCCACACCTGCGCCACATGACTCGGGTTAGTCGGATCGACGTCCAAGCACAAGTTGTTGTGCGTCGCGTGCTTGATCTTGTGGTTGGCCGCATCGATGATCCACTTTTGGTTGTCGTTGGTAGCGTCGCAGGCATACGTGTGAAGACCAAACTTGTCGCCGTCACGGAAGGCGTCGAGGCACTGGCCGTTGCTGGCCGCCTGGAGCGTCTTGGCGTTGGAGTCGTACGTAAAGAGCTCGTTGGCCGAGTCCGAGACCCAGTTGGCGTAAACGCCCGAGTAAAACTCGGAGATGGCCTTCTTGTCCTTGGTGACGAGCTTGACGTAGCTCTTGGCAGCCGGCGCTTCCTCGCACTTGGTGAACCACTGGCTGATACCACCGGTACAGTCGGCGACAAAAGGCGACGCACCCGGCGTGAGGTGGGCCGACTCGAGGCAGAGGTTGCGCACCGTCAAGTGGCGAAGGCTGTGCGAGTTGGGTTCAAAGCCCCACTTCTGCGCCGACCCGCCCGTGCACGCGTAGAGGCGCACCTGGTTCTTGCCCTGGACGTCCTGGTAGACGTCGAGGCACGTCGCGTTGTTGCTCTGCGACTGGATCGACTGGTCGTCAAAGTTGTACCAGAACTTTTCGTTGAAATTCTTCTTCTCCGTGTCGACAAAGAGCTGGCCGTTCCACTCGGAGAGAACGCTGTGCTTGTAGTTGCAAAGCGAGATGGTCGCCGCAGGCTTGAGAGGCGCCGACGTCGGAGCCGGCGGCGGCACCGGGAGCTTGCCATCCTTGATGATCTTGGCAACGTTGACGCGACCGTAACCATATCGGTTGTTGGGCCACGCCTTATCCGAGACGCCGCCACAGTTGGGTGCGCCAGGAAGCGTGCGGTTGCGCGAGAGGAGCCACTTTTCCGGCTCGGCTTGCAAGATGGACTGCTCGGTCGTCGTCGTGAGGTAGTGGTAGATCTCGTCGTACGTCAAGTCCTTCTGCACCGACTTGAGCAGAGCGACGACACCGGCAACATGGGGGGCTGCCATCGAGGTACCCGCCTCGTACTCGTACAACGTGTCGCTCGTGTTGAGGGCCGAGTACGTAAAGAAGCCGGGTGCTGAAACGTCGGGCTTGACGATCGTGTGCACCTGATTCAAACGGTCGACGTACTGCGCCGGGCCCTTGGACGAAAAGTACGCAAGCTGCGTCGGGTCGTCCGTGCGCGAGCCAATCGCGCCGACCGAAATAACGTTGGGGTAGTTGGCCGGGTTGCCGGCCGTCGCGCAGGCAGGGCCTTCGTTACCGTTGGCAAAGATGGGTGTGATACCGGCCTTGTGCCACGCGTCGACGATGTCTTGATACCACGGGTCGGTGCTAGAGTCACTGCCCCACGAGTTGTTGACGACGTTGGCGCCCTTCTTGCAGTCGGGGCGCGACCCGTCCGTTTCGGTCGGGCACATCATGAACTCGGCGCACTCAATCAAGGCCGCGTTCGTACCACCGCCAACATACAAGCCACGGCACGAGATGAACTGGGCACCAGGGGCAACACCGATACCATAGTCACCGACCATGGTGCCGATCGTGTGGGTGCCGTGGCCATCGATGTCTTCGGGCACCGCCGTTTGAAGGTACGGGTCGTACCAGCCCTTGGCCTGGCGCCACTTGGACTGGATGGCCTCGTGCGTGTGGCGAACACCCGTGTCGATCGAGCCAACGACGACGCCTTCGCCCTTGGTCGTCTTCCAGACGTCAGTAGCGCCAATCGTCTTGACACCCCACTGAATGCCCGTCGGACGAGAGTTGTCAATAGGCGAGTTGTCCAGCGTACTGTCCTTCTTGAGGACCGGGCTGAGCTTGATCGTCTTGACCACGTCGACTTTGAGAACGTTGTCGAGCGTGGCGATCTTGTCGGCAAGCGCACGGTCAACCTTCTCGACCGTGGCCGCGTTTGTGATCCAGAACGCCTTGACCTTGCGGTCACCGACAATCTCGGACAGCGTCTGCTTGCGGTCGTTAGCCACGGTGGTTGCCTCGTCAAAAAGAGCCTGGCGACGCTCCACAGCCGTCACCGTCGCGGTTTCCGTCTCGGCCGCCGGCGACGACTTGAACGTGATAAAGGCAGTGAACGTCGCATCTTGCTCGATCGCACGCAGCGCCGAGCTGGTAATCTTGGCGTATACTGGCGCGAGCACGGACGCAAGAGCAAAAATCTTCATCGTCAACGTGCGTTGGACCGAGTCAATTGCCGAATGAGAGTGGTGGCGTGAATTCTGACTCGCCGTTGGCGTGATTGGTGCAACATATGTGTTGCTGCAGATGTTGACATTGAGACATGTACCGATCTGAGTTTGCATCGCGTGCGGTCACGTGGGTACTAGTAGGAATGAACACACACCTAGTAGTAGCAGTAGTAGTGTAGTGGGTACTAGTACTTCGATACGTCGATGGCTAGCATTGTGAGCGGTTTTCTGGCGTGGGGCCCGTCTACACATCGATTGCGTTGACTTGGATGACGGCGGCACGGCAGTTCATTTCTAAATAATTTTCTCCGCATCTTCCTAATGGGGTGAAATGCAATAACGATTTATTATACCAACCATAACGGCAACTTCCACTGCAATGGTATTGTACACAAATGAGTTCACTTTCGCCACAGAGTCCCCGCTTGTCATGAATAAAAACGCACGTGTCATGCATCGGACTTTGCTCTGCGCACAACCACTTTGACAGTCACTAGGACTATGGCGATTTAAGGCCTCTTGTAACCAATTCTTGCAACCGTGTTTTCCTATGTCATATGATCCTCGAAAGTGATGCGTTGCATCTGATTTTGGTGATTGGGCGTCAAGAACGCACCCTGGATATCTGAGAATGGATACACATGTCCCGCCAGGATCTGATTTTCTAATGCGAACTAGTACCATTCCAGACAAGGGCATGATCAGGCGCTTTTGAGCAGGGCCAAAAAAAGTCTGCTCACCGCAGCGCAGCGACGGTCGAGCGCTGACTTTTGTGTGGATCACCGCGCGGCCATCGCAAATAGATAACGCTTCGCATGCACGTCCAATTCTTTTGAAGGTTCTACCAGCTCACCCCGCAAGGGATATACATGTTTTCCCAAGGCCGATGCACCGGTAATACCGCTAAACTTGTGTCTCGAATCAAAGCCTCATGGGCGTACCGGTATCCATGACCGGTATCCGTGTCGTTTGCATTTTGTGACCGTTTCCTTGGCGCCCGAGGTCTGATTTTCGAGTTGGATTCACAGCCTGTCTTTTCACATGTTTTGGCCACGTCTCAACCCCAAAAGTCGCAAAGATCTGGATAGCATGCATGTACCCGGTATCAGACACTCCTGGGCTACCGGCCTCCGTTTGTTCATTTTCAAATTTGCCACCTTTGGCTCCAAGCGTGTCAAATCCTATGAAGGCCTTCCTCATCCTCTCGACGATGGCGGCGGCGGCGTCGGCCAAGGTCGCCAGCTCCGTGCTCCGCGCCCTTGAAATCGACGGCAACGCCGATGTTTTTGTCCGGTTCGCGGACGCCTCGTCGGCGCTTGAAGCCGCGACGCTCGAGTCCAACAAGCCGCTCGAGCGCCAAGAAGTCTTTGAAATTCTCTCGGACGCCACGGCGACGGGCCAAAAGAGCATCGAAGCGGCCACCGCCGGGTTCGAAGTGACGCCGACGTGGATCGTCTCGGGCGCGTTCATCAAGGCCGCCGACAAGGCGCTCATCGAGAAGCTGACGCGCAACCAAGTCATCAAGTCGGTCGAGCAAGTTCCCGACATGCAGCTCGACCCGGTGCTCTCCAAGCCCACGACCGAGGCTGTCGCTGCCGCCGCTGCGTCGCCCAACCAGTGGGGTATCGACGCGATCGGCGCCTCGGATGTCTGGAAGTACGCCAACGGCTCGGGTATTGTCATTGGCTCGATCGACACGGGCGCCCGCCATACGCATCTG